AATTCATCAAAAATATCTATTAATTCTCTACCTCTTGAATTCGTAGTGCTACAGCCAAAAGCAATATGGTGAGCGTTAAAATCGCCAGAAACTATACATGGCTTCGGTATTTTACTAATAATATTTTTTAATTTATTCAGTCTAATCGAATTACGACTATTATTGTTTTTAGGTGGACAATATACACAAAGAATGGACACTGGTCCTGATACTGTCGACACTACAATAGCGATACTTTGAATATCCTGATAAAATGCTGTTTTGATAGTTTTGTATTGAACACGAGTCATGTGTCCTTATCAAATCTACCTACACGCGCCCATGCCTCGTCTGTTTTGTGCATTTTTTCCAATGTAATTGTATCCGGTTATATTAACAGAAGGACTAGATTTTTTAAGCCAAGTTTCATTGAGTAGACACAAATCTATGGAATTATCTTTAAGTATAGTTTTAAGTAACCATTTTTTATTGTTTATGCTTTGAATGTTAAATTGCATTAATTTAAGTGGATCCATTAGAGGGTTAAATTTTGTTTAAGTATATCTTTAATGTGTGTCATAGTTTTTGCAGAATTTGAATTGGCTATCATTACTATAGTTTTAACAATTATTTCCAGGAACTGCAGGTGGGCTGTGAGTTCGTCCAAACACCTAAGAAAAAAAAAAAAAAAAAAAAAAAAAAATCCGGCTATGCCCGGGCGGGTAAGTGAGCTCACGGGGCTCAATATCAGAGAATTTTACTAACACTAGCCCTAGCAAGAGCAGTGCTTCGCAGAATCTACTATCGGATCGAAATCGCGACCCGCTGAGAAGATCCGACGAGAAACTCAGTGGGCCTGCGTCTATGGGTTAGTTCCGTCGTAGGTCGCTCACAGAGGAACGTGTTCACCAGTGCTGAGGGTCGTTACCTTGACGGAGAACTTTTGTTTGGACTATATTCCTCCATTCCTCCCTGTCCTCCGCGACTAATGTCGATGCTAGAATCCAATATCGACTTAATTTGATCGGACCAGAGCATGGGACTGCGCTCTTTAGGCTTCTGACCTTCCACTCTGTGTCCTCTTCCTCCCTGAGTCGCATTCCTCATGTCTGAGGGTCGTGACCATCTCCTCCCTTTACTGGTGGTAGGACCTCTTGTGAGTCCGCACGGGTAGGTACCACCACCCTGTCTATTACTGCCGTGAAGCAGTAATGCGTTTCGGTTTGAAGGGTGGAGCAGCCATTGTAACTATACTTGAGACCTTTAAAACTTGTATCTCAAGGTGGGTGGCGCATTTACGTTGTGGATGTCTATGGGCTCCAGTAACCACTTAACACCAGGTGGGCTGTGAGCTCGTCCACCAATCTAAGCAGTAAAAAATTAAAAAAAACCATTATCCTTCTCCGAATGATGTTTCGCCATCTTCTTCTGTTCTCTGCGATGTGTATTTGCGTAGGGAAAATATAAAGTATACTCACTTCCGTAATAGTACTGGTCGACGGTCTTCAGCCAGCCGACGTCGTCGTGGGTGTGGGGCACGATGTGGACGTTCAGTACTCCCGGCTCGGTCTTCGGACAGCTCTGGACCACAACGAAAATCCTTACATACCAATTCTTTTAAACTTTAGACCGATTGGTACGCGTCACAATCTTGTGTTCACATTAGACGCGTCTAGTTACCAAGTTTTTTTTAATTTATTGCTTAGATGGGTGGGCGAGCTTACACCCCACCTAACCAGGACGACATGTGAGTCTACACGGGTAGGTACCCTGCCTATTTCTGCCGTGAAGCAGTAATGCGTTTCTGTTTGAATGGTGGGGTAGCCGTTGTAACTATACTGAGACCTTAGAACTCATATCTCAAGATGGGTGGCGGCATTTACGTTGTAGATGTATATGGGCTCGTCCAACCATCTAAGCAATAAAGTAAACAAAAAAGCCTGACTAGAGAGAGGGAGAGAGTATTCATTATTGCAGGCCAAAACGCTTAACATAGAAAACAGTCAACAGGTGCGTATTATTGTACAATAAGCGGTCATATAGCTAAAGATCGCCAGACGACCGTTTTTATTTGGAGAAATCCTGTAAAAAATACAGCAGGTACATATGTTTTGGTGTACTATTATTAATAATAGTTGTTTTTAATGTGATAACTTCCTATGGGAGGGTTAACCACTTCGTTACGTGACGCGTTACGACACCAGTCTGTCTGGCGTCCCTTTCTCTCACGCACACGGCAGCGGCAGTGAGAACGTATGTGACTCCTAACTATTTATATACCTTTTTCAATTTATCTTACAATTTTCCTTACATTATCATATTAATGTACATCAAGTTTAAGTAATAACCTAAACATTTTCAATATTAAACAGTTCAATTTAGATTAGTTTAAGTTATCAGTTCTGCCGGGCGTTCCGAGAACCACAATTATTATTCTTCAATGCGTTAAATCGTAATGGTAATCGTGTTTGTTTGTTATCGGTGCAGGTCGTTGACCCTTCGAGCACTTGAGGCCTGTTATAACGCTTTCTTCCATCATCACCGGCTGATAACAGAGGTCGGATTTGTTATGAACAACATTTACACTTTAGTGCTATCAATGAACAAACAACAATGTGTATGCTCCTTATACGAAAACGGTTGGACCTATTTCGATAGAGCTTTCAGGAAAACGTCAGCTTGACCCAGCTGGTGAAATTGGGCAGTTTGGCCGTTAATTTTAGCTATCGCGTCAAGGTCAAATCGAGGATCAACCAACAAAGCACCCGAGCTTAATTAGGAAGTTTGTACAACCATCTGTTAAGCGCGACCTCACCCATTGGTCAAAGAGAAGTATTAATTATTTATTCTAATACGCCACAAAATATTTCTAAGGACAATAATAATAATTCCACTGCCCTTGTTAATGAGATGCATGGGACTAGCAGATGTATGGCAATGGTAGTGCAAGGTAGAAAGAGAAGAGGTCGACTGAAGAAGACATGGATGGAGTGTGTGAACAACGATATGAGAGAGAGAGGAGTGAGTGTTGAGATGATGGCTGATGGAAGAGAATAGAATAGAAAAATTCGCTGTGCCGACCCCACCTAGTGGGATAAGATGTATAAAAACAAAGAAGTGTTTTAATGAGATGTTCTTTCGAAATAAATAGCAGGCTATGTCTTTTTTTTTTATTGCTTAGATGTGTGGACGAGCTCACAACCCACCTGGTGTTAAGTGGTTACTGGAGCCCATAGACATCTACAACGTAAATGCGCCACACATCTTGAGATATAGTTCTAAGGTCTCAGTATAGTCACAACGGCTGTCCCACCCTTCAAACCGAAACGCATTACTGCTTCACGGCAAAAATAGGCGGGGTGGTGGTACCTACCCGTGCGGACTCACAAGAGGTCCTACCGCCAGTAACAATCTTGAATCAACCCAGCCGCCAACGCTTAAGCCAATATTTACCTCATAGCCACACGTCTCCCCGGGCCTCGGAGTTATCTGATCGTGCAGGGGAACGCTTGATGATATGCTCACGAGGCACAGCAGCGCGAGTACCAGCATGGCGGCTGTAACAATGACATCACGCATAACTCAGACTGTATCAGTGGTATCATATCGTAGTTCATAATGTACTGCACTATGAACACACAATTTATGTGAATAATAGAAATTTTACTGCTTATTTCTTATACAGTCAAACCTGGATAAGTGAGAGCTGGATAAGTAAGAAAACTAATGAGAGTGAGTGAGTGAGAGTAATAGCAAGGACCCGTCATTTTAAGCTCTCAAAACCTTATTAGCGAGAAACAGAAACCTCTGTAAGAGAGAGTCGTTTTTCCCTCGTGGACCTCCGTAAGTGAGACTGCTACCTATCTATACCTCTATAAGCGACAGCCGAGCTTTTTTTTTTTTTTTATTTATTTATATTATTTAGGAGGAACAAATGACAAAACAAATTACAAATTTAACATCTGCTATTTTATGACTCATTTTTAACTTTCGTGGAACTTCCTATCATTGTTTTTGTATTGTTTTCTCGTGAATATTGAACCTATTCTATTTCGTGGAACTAAATAACGTTGTTATTTTATCGTATTCTGTTATCGCATTATTTTCGAATGGACACGTGTGCCTGTGTACCGTCCTGTTTGTCGGACTTACTCAGCTTATCGTTAATCAATTGCGAAGGAAAGTTCTGTTCTGCATCATGTAAAAACGGAAAATTAAAGTACTGTCATTAAAGTCATAAACTTAAAATAGTGAATGCATTTGAATGCGGAAAATCGCGAATCGAAATTTAGAGGGAGCATTAGCGAGAAACTCGGGTTAGTGAGAAACCTCTATAAGCGAGAATGAGATTGTGCTCCCTTGAACTCTCGCTTATCCAGGTTTGACTATATATAATAATAATAATAATAATTTCTTTATTTACTACATAAACTCTTAAATTATGACCTAGAATACTATTTACATATTTAACAAACTGAGAGATTACGCAGATGGCATCAACAATATAAAATTAACCAATGATCCTCACACTAGGCATAGCCTGTATCGTGAGGACCAAAATGCGATTTACTATATATATAATTGACCTCAAAACGACATCACTATTATTAATAATTATTACGCTCAAAAACATGCGATACAAGATTTAACNGCAGATGGCATCAACAATATAAAATTAACCAATGATCCTCACACTAGGCATAGCCTGTATCGTGAGGACCAAAATGCGATTTACTATATATATAATTGACCTCAAAACGACATCACTATTATTAATAATTATTACGCTCAAAAACATGCGATACAAGATTTAACATATAAGATAATAAAAAATTTTGAGTAATAAAAATGACACATCAAACAATTACACATATGTGGGGAGCGTAGACATAAACAATTATAAAATAAATTAATAAGAAAAAATAAACAAAAAGATACAAGATACAACAAAAAGATAGAAAGATACAATATATTATATTATTTTAGTTAAATTCTTTATTATAATTTATATTAACCTCCAATCCTTAAACAAATTTAATCAGTAATACTAATTAATTTTCAGCTTCTATAGCTGTATTATATGTATTGCTCGCGCAAATTTCGCGGGTATGATTTTTATTACACGACTTGATACCTTTATCGCGAAAATTCCTCATGAAGATGACACAATATATCCTTAAAACAATGAGTCCACCGTTGTCGCATTGTTCGACACTAGTACACTGGACGTCTTCCTAATTAGGCCACGGACACTTCGAAATGTTGCATCACGAGATTGTGTTGTGAAACAAATATTTCTTATCAATCCCGTAAACGTTTCAATAACACGTTATCGACAATCTTTTAGATCCGACTGCATTAGTATTGCACAAGATATTTCTAATAATCAACCCTCGAAAATTATCTACTTATAAAAATATTACATCAAACCTTTAGTCCTATACTACACTACTCAGATACAGTCTCAGCTCTGCAGCTCTGTACTGATCCCGAGCTCTTCTCGTACACAAACAGACACAGATCCGTCCTACATCTAGCCTCTAGTCCTATACCACACTACTATAGACCCAGTCCTCTGCAGATCTGTACTGATCCCGAGCTCTTCTCGTACACAAACAAACACAGATCCGACCTACATCCAGCCAAGAGTCCTATACTACACTACTATAGACACAGTCTTCTGCAGCTATGTACTGATCCCGAGCTCTTCTCGTACACAAACAGACACAGATCCGACCTACATCTAGCCAAGAGTCCTATACCACACTACTATAGACCCAGTCCTCTGCAGCTCTGTACTGATCCCGAGCTCTTCTCGTACACAAACAAACACAGATCCGACCTACATCCAGCCAAGAGTCCTATACTACACTACTATAGACACAGTCTTCTGCAGCTATGTACTGATCCCGAGCTCTTCTCGTACACAAACAGACACAGATCCGACCTACATCTAGCCTCTAGTCCTATACCACACTACTGTAGACCCAGTACTCTGCAGCTCTGTACTGATCCCGAGCTCTTCTCGTGCACAAACAGACACAGATCCGACCTACATCTAGCCTCTAGTCCTATACTACACTACTATAGACCCAGTCCTCTGCAGCTCTGTACTGATCCCGAGCTCTTCTCGTACACAAACAGACACAGATCCGACCTACATCTAGCCTCTAGTCCTATACCACACTACTGTAGACCCAGTACTCTGCAGCTCTGTACTGATCCCGAGCTCTTCTCGTGCACAAACAGACACAGATCCGACCTACATCATTACATATAAACTAGTTTCAATGCGGAATGAACCACACAAAAAAGTAGTTCGTTCTACATCTAAGGAGTCATACCGTTACGTGCCTAGAACTATTATAAAAACAATCTCTCAATGTAACCAGCTCTTTGATTTCTTTATTCGCGGATCTAATGGCTAAATCGGTAGATGCACATTGATAAAAATTATTCCAATAAGTACTTAGGGATCCAACCGAATGTCCTTTGTAGACGCGTCGTCAAATTGAGTAATAAAAAAGGTAAAACAGACCTTATTACATCTACGCTTAAAGTATTTTATTATTTTGTCACGTGCGGAACGTATCCCCAATAATCTCCTAAGCCGATTGAGACACTCAAACTCTTATTTCGACTAACGGGCAACCCTTTTGATCATAAGTCGGCGAGGCTTAGCTGCGAAAATTTAACTCAAATTTGTATGGAGTTGGATACGTTGGCCCGCGTTTGCTGCTAAGGGCGCTATTTCAACTCCATACAAATTTGAGTTAACTTTTACGCTATCGAGAACGTTAAAAAACTCGCACCGAGCACACTGGTCTATATATCTGGTCTTTTTCACTGGTTGTAGGACCTCTTGGGAGTCCGCACGGGTAGGTACCACCACTCCGCCTATTTCCGCCATGAAGCAGTAATGCGTTTCGGTTCGAAGGGTGAGGTAGCCGTTGTAACTATACTGAGACCTCAGAACTTATATCTCAAGGTGGGTGGCGCGTTTACGTTGTAGATGTCTATGGGCTCCAGTAACCACTTAACATCAGGTGGGCTGTGATCGTCCATCCATCAAGCAATAAAAAATAAAAATAAAATAAAACAATCACAGTAAAAAGTAAATTCCATAACAAACATTATCAATAAAAAATTAATTATCACGAAACTATTTTGAGAACATTTTCTTGGAAACATGTCTTCTTTTAAAACAATCTCGAAAACCTCCGATGATAATATCGAACGATAGGAGTTCTTGAGAACAACAACAAAACAAGTATTAAGTTTGAACTTAAAATCTTATCCTCATAATAATAACTAGTGGTCGCCCGGTAGTCGATACTCGACTATAATTAATTGAAATTATAAGTTCGGGGAGTAAGGGGGGATCGAAATGCTACCTTCACCGGCCCTATTGTGGCCCACCTGCACGCGCCGGATGGCGGCGGCGACCTACAGGTTGCCGTGGTGCTCCCTGCTAGAGAACGAACGGGGCAATGGCGACCGAGCAATGGCGGTATAACCATACACACCCGTCAGGACAACCTGTACGGAAGAGGCGTCAGAAACCTTGGGGACCAAATACCCCCTAAAATGCTGGTGCAGAAGGCAACGGGAAACCACTGCACAATTTCCCACGAGAGTCATAAGCAGGTCGTATCCGACTGATGCATGACCACGACCACTCTGTCAAGAGTGTACAAATAGGATGGATAAGTTCGTACACTATTATGATTTTATTTTCAAAGACTATTATACTTCTATAATCACAAATTTCGCCAAGACTACACTTTAGGTAAATATTAATAAAGACAAACAATATTTAATGTATTCTCAATTTGACCACAGACGTCAAGAACAAAAGTTTGACAATACATAAATAAAAAAATGCGTGTGTGCGTCAAATACATGGTATGTAGTGTGTGTAATGTTTTTTTATTGATTTAATGTATTTTTAAGCATCATTTAAAAAAATATTAGCATTCGGCACTCCTTCTCTATAAGTGTGGGAAATTTCATCCTTCTCCGTCCGCGCAATTTTCGTAAAAAGGAATACAAAGTTTTTGCTTCACGTATTAATATATAGATAATAGTATTTGAAGTCGTCGTGGCCTAAAGGATAAAACGTAAGGTGCATTCGTGTGTAGCGATGCACCGGTATTCGAATCCCGCAGGCGGGTACTAATTTTTCTAATGAAATGCGTACTTAACAAATGTTCACGATTGACATCCACGGTGAAGGAATAACATCGTGTAATAAAAATCAAACCTGCAAAATTATAATTTGCGTAATTACTGGTGGTAGGACCTCTTGTGAGTCCACGCGGGTAGGTACCACCGCCCTGCCTATTTCCGTCGTAAAGCAATAATGCGTTTCGGTCTGAAGGGTGGGGCAGCCGTTGTAACTATACTGAGACCTTAGAACTCATATCTCAAGGTGGGTGGCGCATTTACGTTTTTTATTTTTTTTTTATTGCTTGGATGGGTGGACGAGCTCACAGCCCACCTGGTGTTAAGTGGTTACCGGAGCCCATAGACATCTACAACGTAAATGCGCCACCCACCTTGAGATATAAGTTCTAAGGTCTCAGTATAGTTACAGTTGTAGATGTCTATGGGAGATCCAGTAACCACTTAACACCCAGTGGGCTGCGAGCTCGTCCACTCATGTATGCAATAAAAAATATTTAGATGAAACACTTCAAAATGGTCGTTCGTAATTTCGTTATAATTAATTTGAATACGAGGCGGTCTGGGTTAACAGGAAAGAACTTATCAATATTATTCAACAACATAACAAACAAAAAATTTAACTCTTATAAATTCAAATATTTTGTTTGTACACAATAGACTTCATAAATTCAAAGTAGACTCCTTTGTTTGATCAGAAAAACGTTTTCAAAATTATAATATTTCATCGTATAAGTAATTATTTCATACAATTAAGTCAACAATGCGCGCCAAAATTTACATTGACAAGTCGGTATGCGACAATGCACAGGGTTCCGTAGGCAAAAATAGCACATTTTTCATTACAGTTTAATATTTTATTTGAAAACATTACATAGAGTAAGCACATAGTATCTTTCCTTTTTCTTACAAACTAAAGATCCGGATGTAGCTCTAATGATTCGTCTTGTACTCTTAATATTAAAGTGGAAAATTCTATGAAAATAACGGCATCCTTAAAAAATTGCATAACTAAAAACACTTACCATAAAATTTCACCATTACTAAAGAACATTTATTATGGAAAACAAACTAATTTGTAGACACGCAGTCACTACGCCTGTAGGATATCGTCCATAGATTATACACTTAAATATCGTCTGTTGGAATTTTGTGTTTTCAAACGAGTCGATGGACGATTGAAGCTTATTTCATGAATGAACAATGTTGCCACCCTCAGATTTTAATTTTCTCGATTTAAATATGTGACAATTTATACACTCATTTCAAGCATAAGGCTTCGAGGCTGTACTTTAAGCATGTAAAAGCAATTAACGGTCTATAAAATTAATTAAGTTGGTAAATTGTGACCGTCACTCATTACAAAAGCATTAATAAAGGAACTGCTGGACGGTTAAATCTGAGGGGATTGGGTTCTGTAGGTTGATGAGGGGCTATTTAGAAACACACTGCTTCATTATAATTATATTGCAGATAGTTTGAACACTGTTACACCATTATAAAATTATTATCTTTATATTTTTATAAAACTCTTACATGTTGCTCTGACCGTGTCTAGATGAGAAGTACTGACTTTTTCTTACGAGAATACTATCATCTGTTTTTTAAACATTTAAAATAATTCTGATATTCGAAATCTGTAATCATGTGTCAAGTGTTGCCTGCCATTACATTTATATACAAACTCCAACAGGAACAGCCATTTGATATATGTTTACGAACAACCAACATAAAAAGGAATGACATTGGATAATAAAAAATAAGCTCTGAAACAAAATTAGCGTAATTAGTACGGTGTAATTTTAACACAGACTTCATATTTCAATATATGTGACTCATTTTATTTTTTGATTTCTGTGAAGTCCAGTAACTGTCTAACACCAGCTAAGTGTACTCTGTACTCGACTAAGCAATAAAAATGCCAGCATTGTGTTAAAAACCTTATTTTATCTATGAAAAAAAAAATTTTTTTTGCTCTTCAATTGTCTGTTTTCTTCGTTATTGCTACTATATTATGCTTTTGTGTTAGTAATTTACGCTCACGTGGCACTCAGTGAACGTCTAGCGGAACGTTTTAAGAAATTGCTGGAATTCCCTAAAAAAATTATAATTAGAAACACAGGGCTAATGTCAAAGTGACAGTGAAAACAATTTATTTCTACTGCTATACATGACACTGGCAGTAATTGCTTAGTGCATAGATAAAGAATATAATGCTTGAGGCATCAACGAGTTAGCGGATTTGAATATAACAAAAACTAAATATAGGTAATTAAATAGAATCGTTTTAGTTAACAAACGTGTTTTGAACCGATTGCTTTTATGAAGGTTCTTAATATTAGATGTAACAAAATTTTTGGACGTGGCTTCTCCGATTCTTCCAAAATTTTTCAGTGAATGTTCTGTAAATTGCACCATTTTAGTAATAGGTTAATAGTCTTTCCGATCGTTGTGGTGAGGCTTGGGGAGACCATGTCCAGCAGTGGACGTCTGTGTACTGATTAATAAATAATAAGCTGAGTAATTTATTTTATTTACTTACCGTTTTAATGACTAGTTTAATTATATTCTATAATCATTTTCAGCCTATCTATTTTTCTTACAAGACATGTGATTTGACCTCGGTTTCAAAATGTTTGGCTTTATGGCCATTGTTCCTTTTACTTGCCAATTAATTAACTAAAAACGTCAAATGGACATATGACAATTGTCGTTGTTTACAATTGTAGTTTCAAAACAAATTTTGATTTCGCATTGCAAAAGTTACATTAATGGCACATATATGGAAGTTTTCACCGCAGTCAGAGGAACTATTGCAACGATGTATAGCCATTGCACCACCAGAGGACGAAAACAATAAATGGGTACGTGCTTTTAGGAAGAAAACTCAGATTGAAATAAAACCAAACTCAACTTCAGTAGACGAAAAAATTGAAAGCAATTCGCAATTATTAACAAGTGAACCTGAAATGGTTATCGATTCAGATAATTACGAACAATTCTTTGAATCATTGGGAACGGGATCAGATTTGGACATCGAATTTCTGCAGAAAGAATGTCGCGAACACCCGAAGTTGCTAACTTTGATAGCGCATCGTCTACCAGCGCCATCTCTGGAAAAAATTGCTGACTACGTTTTCTTCACTAAAAATACAGATGACGCTTTCGTCAAAAACTTTGTTAAACACTCCTTACCAATAATTTTGATGAAAGACTACAAAAGATTTTATTTAGATCTAATAAAACTGATAATGAACAAATATAGCGATATTTTTACGGATCTATTGGAGGTAATAGTCAAAAACGAAAACGTATCAACGAACATATTATGTGATCTGACGACTAATATAAATGGCGGCGAAAAGGAAGTTTTTCTCAGAGCATTCCTAAAGATTGAATTCGCGTCGATCGACTTCATCCGACATTTGCAAACCATCAACAGTTTTTACGCGACTTGTGAAAAAAATGACAATTTACAGAAATACATATTTGATTGTCTCTACCGATCTAAAGAGCTGTGCAAAGAAAATAAGAAATACGGCAAACTATTAGTGTCTTACCTGCAAAATTCTAAAAACATGAAATCGGATGCTTACAAAAAAGAAATTCAAGAAATCGTCGAAAAACATTCGTCGCCATTTTCCAAACAGTGCTTGTTATTGTTTAATCAAATAAATCGGCAAGATCGAGAACTATAAATTAACTATCACACGTGTATCGAAAAACCACATCATTTCGGATCCTCCCGATCCACTAATAGTGCTTTTAGGTACCTCAAGCACCGGTCACCGTTCGGTAAATTAACCCCCACAGACACAGCCCACTGAGTTTCTCGCCGGATCTCAGTGGGTCGCGTTTCCGATCCGGTGGTAGATTCTGCGAAGCACAACTCTTGCTAGGGTTCGTGTCAGCAACGTCGTCAGGTTTGAGCCCCGTGAGCTCATCTACTAGTTCGGCGAATCTAGAATAACCCCTCGAGGTACTAGAATAGGTAGGGAAAAAACAATCGAAACCGCAATGGAATCGAAATTGATTGGATTGATTAGATTTCTTTCAATGAGGTTATTGGCCACCGATTTCTCAAGTTTTTCTTTTGTTGTCAACCCTATTCTTTGTGCTACACCATAGACCCCACTAATTTTTATCACGGCTTGTATCGCATTTTTTCGTTTTTTTACAATAAAACTTCAGAATTGCTTAGAATTTCTTCACCGTCACCCATATTGGTAACAGAAAAAAAGATCTACTGTCAAAGAGGGTGTAATGGGAACTGTAGGTGGCGGCTTCTCCCCAGTGAAGGTCAAGGGGCAACCTGAGGGGGTTGAGCACTCTAGCGCGCTATCAAGGAGTATTCGAGATAAAAGAGCAACCGGTTCGCGGTGTATCGCGTCCCGACCCAGCAGGCTGGTTCTGGTCTAGCGGGGTTTCAGAGCCTTCGATTCACCTCAAAGTCCTTGAGGTGAACTGCGCCCTCTGGTTGTAATGTTGACCCCCTTACCTCATCCGTGTTCTGACCTCGGAGGGGATCAGACGCTTGAGCGAAGAGTGCAGGGGAGTCGTTTAGTGGGTAGGGCATACTTGGGTCGGCGGTTCGCAGTCGCGAGAGAAAAATAGGTGCAATGGCGAGAAACTGTTTTCATTATGCAAATAAAAGGTGTAAAATAGAATAATTTTATTTTTTTTAATATTATAATCAGAAAATATATTGAATAAGAAACATGCGTCAGTTTTGTTGGAAACCCTGTTTAATATTATTTATTTTTTACATTTATTCTGTAAATGGTTTGTTAAAGTTTTAGTGATTTCCAAATAGAAAACGTTAGCCGTGGCTACGTATTGAAAAAATGCTGTGAGCGCTGTGACAAGAAAAATACAATGTGAAATTTTCACTTTCAATACATTACATTAGTCAGTACAATGTGTGCATGATTTTATCATTCATTTCTTTGCCCGACAAAGAAACAAATTATCTTTCAAACACACTAGAATCTATCATTAAATTTCAAGTATATGTACTTACTGATACAAAAAAAGTCTACATAGTACATACCTAAGATCTACATGATGTTTGGCCTTAAATAATTATATGTACTTAACATTAATCCTAATCTAATGAAATTGAGAATTATACATGCTTTTTACGTATTAATCAATATAAATAACAATACATTAATTTGTTTTTAATTTTAAACACTTATTTCGGCGACTAAATCATATATTTTAGTTTTAATATTAATTTTGGAAATCACTAACTATGTTTTATAGTTCTGTAACAAAACGCAATTTTCAATCAAATTCGAGACAGTTTATCTTTTTTTTTAATCGATCACAAATGTCACAGAACTGCACCTTTGGTCACTTACAATCAGAATGTTGCTCTTTACAATTTAACAATGAACGTTAACACTAGTGTTTTTTAATTACAAAAAAAAAACTACGGGAATTTATGAATTTTAACAGCAAAAGTCAAACTCCACACAATAACGTTGTACCGTGGACAAATTGACGTAGGAACGTAATATTTTTGAATGCATATTTGGAATGTAAAAAAAAAACATTTCCCGCGCTCTGTACATAACCCACTTTTACTTAATTTTCACAACTACAAATGTCTCTAATACTTACTTACTTACCTACTTATGAACATACTTTCTAAAACAAAAGCAATTATTATTATTACGAGTATTAAGCGACGTGCCGCCATAATGTTACATGAAAAATCACAAAGTCAATTTCAGGTAGGTATGCAAACATTGTTTTACGTGCAATACGCTAAAATAACAATTGAATTAATTCAATTGGGATTCCAATTATTCGAGTTCTTAAAAAATATATTTAGCCTTACTTCTAACATGATTTAATTTTATTTAACGTATACTTTTTTTGTACTTAAAGTTGAGAAATAGTGAGTTAATTATAGTGAAATGTATTACGTAATTCAAGTTAATTCTGAGAGCTATGTTAACGCGATAGACAACAATGGATCCGAAAAAATTGCATTGTACAGAATATTAAATACATATTCGTTCTAATAGCGCCTGCACTATTAAACTTAAAACAACCATATACAAAATTGTCAAATAATTTAAGTGTAAGTAAGTTACATTTCAATTGCGATTTGCAGCTATAAAGATTTTCTACCCATTTAATATGAAGTTACAGTTTCACATGTGAAACATGTAGTAATTATTGCTGTAAATCTAAGAATTTGTTTAAAAAGCAATATTATGATTACCAATTTTTAATGGACTGTCAGATCTAAAAATATATAGTAACACAAAAGTTGCAATTTAGTGGGTTTCTTTTTCTTTCAAAACGCTTCCCAGCTCTCTTGTGTAAAAATGAAAATTAATATTTTTAGTAGTGAAAATATGTTGGAAAATGTTATTTTGATTAAATTACAGATTATTTCCTAGAGAGCTTCAAATAGAACAGAAATGATAATAAGAATTTCACAGACATCAAAAAGTGCATTGAAATAGTAATGTTTTTATAGATTAGGCATTTCATAGATTTAAAAGAGGAAAAAATCTACTAAAAATAAAATTATTACGAATCAATCACATGAAATAAATGTTACATGCCAGAAAACTGTTCACTCGAATAACTCGGACAGAGTCTCCTTCCTGTTCACATGGTTTTTATCATAGCAATGAGCCATCAACACAGATTCTCCAACTATTAGGTTCTCGAAGCAGAGCGTACAAGCATACATTGCATCACCGAAGCAAACTATTTTATTACCATCCCTATATAATGTCATCGGGTTTAAAACTGTGCTTGGCATGATTTCTTTTCCAGATGCAACACATTTCTTAATGTAGGCAGTCTTGTATAAAAAATGGATCTTCTCACAATGTTTCTGACTCAAAATGTGTTTCAAAAGGCATTCTTCATCAACCTCGGAAATATTACAGGCCGGACAGTGAAACGTTAGTATGTTCTTAGACTCAAATTCATCAGCTTCACAATTTATCTGTATGCTGTGAGCTTGCACGTAGAATGTGATCCGCTCTATAGCTGTCTTCTGCTGTAAAATAGACAGAGTCGAGTCATCAAAACTATTATAGCTTACTATCATGTCTAATGACTCTGAATAAGCTGATAACGTATTGGAATCCATAGTGAAATTCCCGATCGAAGAAGTTATCGATTGGTTTGTGTCTTTTGACGTCAAGCCTGAGTCAGATGGTGAATAGTGGCATTTGCAATTGCATTCAGAAGAATCTGACTCGCTGAATAGGTGACCAGCATTGTGCATTGAGACACTTAACTCTTCTTTCTCACTCTCAGTACCGAATAAGTTGATCATGGCTTCCCTTAGATCGGGAAAATCATAGTGCTTCATTTTCTTTTTTATTGTCATCTTTGCAGATTTACTTCGTTGGATTCTGTACGACTTTCTTAAAACTGTTAATCCTTTTCTTCTGTGATCTAGATATAAGTTGATGAATGTATCTATTGTTTCTTTCATAGCTAAAAGCTGCTGTTTTAATTTATTTTTAGATGAAGAATCCTCTTTCTCCACGATTATGTTCCATGATGGACTGATTCCTCGGGTTGTATTGTCGGCGTGAGTGACCTGGCCCAATATCTTAGGTATCCGTGTCACGTCCGTTCCAGACGGGGCAGTGACAATTGATTTTGCATTAAATATCTTCGAGACTTCAATGTGAAATTGGAATTCATTAAGCAACTTCTGTAAGAAACATTCTAGCTTCTCCAGGCGCATTTGGTAGTTTAACAGCAGACTGATACGCTCCTCTTCATTCTTGTCCTCCAGGTCTTCGAAGGGCTCTGGTGAGACCGACGTGGATTCGCTGTCCGTATCTGGTTCCTGCTCAACTTTCCGACACATCTTGACCTCTTTCTTTTCGCTCGAGTCGTCTGTATCGCTGGGGTCAGAGTATGAATCGATTTCCACAATCTCTTCAGTTCTGGAAGACGAATCGGTCGGCGAGTCTGGTAAATCGAAGGAGCTATCGAAATTGAACCTCTTCAGTCTGAAACTGAAGACCTCGGCGCTTTTGCAATCCAGGAGCTTGTGTTTGGGCGTGTTCTCGGCGTTGGAGCCGTCATCATCGTTGTTGGTGAAGTCCAACGATCTGGTCATCGATTGACTGGCTTTCTTGACGTCTAGTTTTAATTTTCTTATTTTCCTCTTCTTCTGCTCGTTCGCGGATAAAATGTCGGTGTCGGAATGCGAGCCTTTTTTTGTTATTATGTTTCCATGATCGGCGGCGGTGGTCTCCTTCAAGGCTCCATCCGGCTCGGCCTGCGTGTTGTGTCGACGGCGGCTCGTCAAAGACCCCTTCGCTCGGTCTTCGTTTGTTTTAGCAAAATATGTTATATTCGACAATATCTTACGGAATGCATAGTCCATTATTTTGCATAAATTCTCTTTACGTAACGAATTTAGAGCTAAACAGCAATAAGGTATTATATATTCGGTCCTGCCGACAATTCAACGAATAAAATCACTTTTCGAGCAAAACAAAAGGGTACTATCACATTTTTTGAGAATTTACCCGATTTTTTTTTTATTTCTCCCCATCACTAAACTGCACTTTATCGTTCACATGTTTGTTTGAAGGAACACGAGATTTCACCGACCTTAATTCACGACTACCTACTTACAACCACAGAACACTATTACTTCTAGCGAACTTACAACTTTAAGAAAATAAAAAAAAAAAAACAAAAAGAAAACAATTCTTATTCTCGGTCGCCAGTATGGACAACTAAGAAAAACGATTCTACTAAATTAACAGTAACATTTTAATGGATAATTAATGGTAATGAGTGTGATTCTCATTACGGGAGAAAGCGAATTGTGTCTACACTGGTCTGTAGACTTCAGATAGTACTACGGTGTACCATAATGTATACTCCAGACAGATGGGTTCAATGAACTTAAGTAAATAGTTTAGGTAAATAAGTATATGTATAGACCATGAACCCTTCCTACTTGAATATAACCCTTCACTCTGAAATGTTAGCCGGTTTGAGAAAATTGTAAGTTTAGAACTGGCTTTCAATTTGTTAGTACTATACGTCAGTCGATGACCTTTAACACTGGGATGTCAGAAGCGCTATTTCTACCAAGTATACCATAATTAAAAATTAATAGTAGCTTTTAATTTCATCATTCAGAGGTTTCCCTAGTTCGTTCTGTTACATTTATTCACAATATTTTTAATTAAATGTATTTGAAGTTATGTGTGCTTTGTTGTACTGTGCAACTTTTTTGACCTGATACAATATATAATACAAAGAATCGTAATTCATTAAATTCAATGTTCATTCTAAATTATCAAAAAGCAAGTTCAAAATCATATTAATAAAAGGAAGTTGTTCAATTTTACTTAAAAGACTTTACGCTTACACCGTTGTGCTTATTAAAAACAAAACAAAAAAATCGTTACCAAATTCTCCCAAATTTCAAAATCTCAAAAATATGAATCAAGTTTTGTGAATAATTACTCACTTAACTCGAACTCTCATTAATTATTACCATGTTAGTGAGCCATCGCTTAATTTCAACTTGCTCGACATTTTCGTCTTTTTTCGTCTCTTAATTCAATAAACTCAACTCCAATTTTTGTAATAAGGGATTTGGCTGTATAGCCTTTGTTTCGTTGGCCTGTCCGATTGAAGAATAGAACAAAAACCAAATGTTTATATTTTATTTTGTTTTGAACGCCTCGAAATCACTCTCGAATTAAATACCTACGTAATAAAAAATACATTGGGATTAAAAAAAAATACACATTTCACACAATGAAACCTTCTATAGACGTAGATACGTTGAGAACGGAGCACGAATCCGAGGAACAGTGGGAAGTTAGACGTAGTTTCCTTTTAGAACACAAAGACGATTTTCCAGAAGCTGAATTAGTGACACTGGCGCAAATCTATACCAATATCGAATTTTTAGGATGCAGGTTCGTTTGGAAGCCAATCTATTTCGTTTTCCTAGTTAATCTTTCCAACAAAAAGTTTTTTAATTATGGATTATCTACAAAAAAAATATGAATTTCCAAATCGATGGATCTTAACGGAAAGTTGTTATTTTTCTTTCTGGTTGCACGTGCTGTGAACACAATCGGTTTGATGTTTCTGTGTACCAAACAATAATGCGCTTTAAAACGAATACCAATCTTCATTTTACGGTTATAACCTCATTGGAAATCCAGCCCACTGAGTTTCTCGCCAGATCTTTTCAGTGGGTTGCGTTTCCGATCTGGTGGTAGATTCTGCAAAGCACTGCTCTTGCTAGGACCAGTGTTAGCAACACTCTGGTTTGAGCTCCGTGAGCTCATCTATTAGCTCTGCGAATTTAGTATAGCCCCTCGAGGCGACTAGAATAGGTAGGAAAAGAAAAACTGAATTAAACTTCTCAACTATACCTGTCTGTGGGTTAAGTTCGACAAGAACAATGCCCAGTGTTTGAGGTACCTAAAAGCACTGTTAGTGGATCACGAGGATCCGAAATGACGTGTTTAATTCAGACAAATTACTCTGCTTTTTGTACTGGCTTCTAGTTTCGAAGCCGGTAGCTTCTAGTCTCATATAACACGGTTTCACACAACACGGGACTTTGTAGGAATCAACAGAAACTGTCATCTTCATTTGTGAAATCTCTTACATAATTTTCTAGCTTAGTGAATGAGATTATGGCCCAACTGGTATTAAGTGATTACTGGGGCCAAAAGACATAAACATCTTAAATGTCACTACTTACCTTGAGACATGAGTTCTAATATTGTATAGTACAATAACTGCCACATCCTTCAAACCAGATTGCTTCGAATAAGTAGGATGGTGGTGTCTATGTGTGGGCTTATAAGATACCCTTCCATCATATTTTTTTTTTTTTTTTTCAAAATCTATATAAAATAAATAAAAAGTTTAAACTGATTGCTCCCACATACTAATCAACATATTGTTTTCAGATATCCACCTCAAACAATGAAACGTATTTCGGTATTGGCCGAGAAAGTGTCCGCCAAGTACAAGGAGAGCAGAAAGAATAAGTTGAAACGAACTTTCGTGCAAGCCAGCGATGCGGCCGAGCAAAAAGCTAAACGTACCTTCATGAAATAGTATTAACTGTACAAATACTTGTAACTATACTTGAGACCTTAGAACTTATTATTATCTCAAGGTGGGTGGCGCATTTACGTCGTAGATGTCTATGGGCGCCAGTAACCACTTAACACCAGGTGGGCTGTGAGCTCGTTCACCCATTTAAACAAATAAATGTTTGGGTCTATATGTGTTCGTTATTTATCTAATTGTGCAAAGTTTACTGCAACAGTTATCATTAAAATTGCTTTCATGGTTTATTCTCAAATTTATTTCGTATTGTTACACGCTGGGGTTCTGGTTAATAAAAATTCTGCCGAAGTACAAATTAAAACTCTATTTAACTTAGAAAACTCACAGAACAGTTTACAGTTCGTAATTCGCTTTTTCCGCTTTGCTCCAAATCGCATATTATAATTTGCGTAATTACTGTTGGTAGGACCCTCTTATGAGTCCGCGCGGGTAGGTACCACCACCCTGCCTATTTCTGTCGTGAAGCAGTAATCGGTTTAAAGGGTGGAGCGGCTGTTGTAACTATACTGAGACCTTAGAACTCATATCTTAAGGTGGGTGGCGTATTTACGTTGTAGATGTCTATGGGCTCCAGTGACCACTTAACACCAGGCGGGCTGTGAAATCGTCCACCCATCTAAGCAATAAAAAAAAATGCAGTCCTTAAAACCTAAAGCTTAATTCTATATCTTAAAACCAAAATAAATAATACCACCCAGGATATATATATATTTTTTATTGGCCTTAGCTTACGTCCCACCCGATGATGAGTGGCTACCGTCGCACATGGGCATTAGCAATGCCAGGAGCAGAGCCTATCCCAGCAGAGCACACCGTTAAAATGCCATAAAATGCATTATGCAAAATAAAAATTTGCTGTCGCAGTATGCCATTCTCTGATACGTTTCTTACTTTGGTGATACTCATAGGAAGAGAAGGTTTAACTATTCCACGCCATTGTATCAATGTCAATGTGTGTTATGGCTTGATAATGAACTGGATTGGACCCGGTAAGCTGTACTGTAATAGCATAGTTTTATATCAAAAATTTTCTGGGCCGCTCTGCTGTAGCCGCTGGTAGATTACTCAGTAAGCTGCACTTTCAATTTTAATCTACTATAGCTGTGTTTACTTTAGTCGCTAAAGTGTTTATAAATAAAATAAATAAAAGACACAAGAATGAAATCACAACATAATATAATAAAGATGTATTTAATTCGATCACATTTGTATAATAATGTAAGGTTTTCTATAACTTAAATAAAAATAAAATACATACATAAAATATACTCAGTCTCTGGTTCTTAATCCCCACACTGAAGAGCGGCGCGTGCCGACCGTGGGCCTCGCTATGGCGCTGAGAACGGAAACAAAAACGATCTAAAGATATTTTTTTAAGGAAATGTTATTATGTTTTTTTTTTTAATGGATTTTATGACCTGGCAACTAAGACCTTTAGGTTTATGAAAAATGATGGAGTAAAATGAAATGAAATGAAAGTGATTAATTTGACACATTAATCAACTGGGATAAAATATAATCTCAATAAAATGGTGGTCATTTACTGAGACTTTTTCAGTGGAGGATCTCGAGAAGTTACGTCCAGTGGTTTTTTTTAATATTCCCACGTTTGTGCACTCTCAAGCCTTATTCGGACTAGGCGAGTATTTTAGTCGAGCACCAAGTAATTTAGTAGCTAAATGTGTCTGAGAACCAAAAATGTAGTCGAGAAGGTTAGTAAATAATTTAGTCAAGTCAATCCATTTTGTTCTATTTTTTCGGGCGAGTAGTTTAGCCACTAAATTACTCGGTACTCGACTAAACTACTCGCCTAATCCGAACAAGGCTTCACAGATACTAATCAGTTAATAAACCACCGTTATTACAACTTTGAAAAACACTAAATCAACGGATTCCAGTCACTAAGGAAACATGGGTTCTTCTTCAATAAATACCTGAACATGAAGTGGTTGATCTGGATCGATGGTAGATTGGCTTTTAATAAACTAAGATTTGGAGCTTGCAGCATCCCCCAGACTTCCAGGTATCGCAGAGAAGGCATCGCTGACAATTTACTGCAACAATGTTAGTTTACGAATAAATCTAGAGTTTACTTGAACATAACATTGAAGAGTGTAATGCTATCTTTATAATGAAAGATGAAAAAATTTTTATTTGGTAATTTTTGGTATAGACAGTTCGATGTTTTTAATTGAATTTCAATTAAGTTTACTCCATTCGAGTAGCTGGAGCAGTTTTTTTTTGTTATGATATTATTATGTACTTTTTCCATTGCGTGGCGTGGTCACAGCAACCGGTTGTCATGGTAACGGTGCCTTCTAGACCAGACGACGAAACGAATGACTTCCCCTGTGTTTAATAAACATATATATATGTCGGAGACGGTCATTAGTTTGGTAGCCAAATGAAACGCAGCACGATTCCCGAGAGATGGCAGCACGATTGCGGTATCGTCGAAACTCGGCTAACTGCGTGCTACGACAGAGCCTAGCCGATGGAGGCGCGTAGACGCCATCACACTTACCAACCAGCCTTCTTGAAGAGCGGCGCCTCAGTCCTAAGAACTGTCAATCGTTATCGTTTGCTAACGTCAAGAGAAGATTTCTAAATTGTTCTAAGATAACAAACGTGATTGGAGTACTCAACATTTCTCTTAGCTCGATCAACCTATTCGCCCCTATGATGTCTGACGATAGTGTTAATAGTTGTAGCCTCTCCGACATATGTATGGACACTTACGAAAGCGTATGTCCGGAGAGCATGTAGCAGCGACTGAGGGCCGCGTGCTCGAGCCTGCCCAGGGTCACCAGACTCTGCAGCGCGCGGGGGGTCAACCGGGAGCAGTCCGACAGGTCCAGCTCGGCCAGGCGCGGGCAGCGCGCGCACAGCCGCTCCGTCACTGGGGGACATAACAGTTTTTTTTTTTGTTTTCCTACCTAAGCTGAGAAACTTGAGAGGCTATTTCAGCGTAACCTTAACTAGTAGGTGAGCTCACGGGGCTCAAACCTGACGACGTTGCTGACACGAGCCCTAGCAAGAGCCGTGCTTCGCAGAATCTATCACCGGATTGGAAACGCGACGCACTGAGATCGTAGCTAGCGATGCACCGGTGTTCGAATCCCGCAAGCCGGTAGTAATTTTTCCAATGAAACAAATACTTAACAAATGTTCACGCTTGACTTCCACGGTGAAGGAATAACATCGTGTAATAAAAATCAAACCCGCAAAATTATAATTTGCGTAATTACGCAGCTCACAGACGTCTACAATGTAAATGCGCCACCCACCTTGAGATATAAGTTCTAAGGTCTCAGTATAGTTACAACGACTGCTCTACCCTTCAAACCGAAACGCATTACTGCTTCACGGCAGAAATAGGCGGGCGTTGGTGCCTACCCGTGCGGACTCACAAGACTTCCTACCACCAGTAAAGGATCCAGATCATGACAATTGCTTACACTCATCAGTCATAATCCTGGCTCCGCCGAGGTTGAGCCGCTGCAGCCGGCGCGGCAACATGTCCACCAGCACCTGGAGAGCCGCCTCGCTCAGATTGCACCACGATATATTCAAGGACTGTAGGCTGAAAATTCCAAGGGGGTCTCGTCATGAATTTTCCAAACAGATACATAATATTGTAACGCCGGTAAGAATAACGCCATCTATCGCCGAATAGTCGAATGAGTATAAAAAATACGTACAACGCCATCTATTGTCAAATAGCGGAAACACAATACCCGAAATGCGTGGAATATTCTGGAAAATTCTAGGGATGCGGTATCGGCTATAAAAGCGTTGCAGAGACGGCACGCAGTCAGTCAGTAATCGGAACTACTCGAAGCGAAACAGAGAACGGATCACCCGAAGCGAAGCGGAAGAAGAAGTGTTCTGTGAGTGTTTTAAGTGATAAATAGTTTTAAGTTGTACTTCGGTGGACCATTTATTCATCCCGAACCCCAGCGCTTCAGAATATAATTTGTATACATATTACTAATGTGAAAATGTTTTAGGAATTTGCAATCAAAGTTTCCTGTTACGTTCCATAAAATATAAAATTAGTTAAAAGATAATTTAGTTTTAATGGCATAGATGAATGAATCAGCTCATGATTCAAATTACCTAAAAAGTTATCAGAGCCCGTAGGCATCAGCACATCGTGAGTGGACCTGCAGTTGCCATCTTGAGACATGAGCTCGGAGTGCCACCCTTCAAACCGAAACGGATTACTGCTTCACAGCAGAAACAGGCGGGGTGGTGGCAGCTACTGCTCTCACAAGACCTTCCACCACTAGTGATTAAATACTAGACAAGGTATTTTTGGCTAGGATAAGGACTAATAGACCGATCTATTAATGTAAGCAAATAAAACTCACTTCACACATCCCTCAAGTAACGCTCTCAACCCTTCTGCGGTAATCCCTTGTGCCATTGTCATGTTTAATGTCTCCAAATTTGTACATCTACCTGAAAACACAATTACATAACTTGTTATTACAGCTGTAGACCGCGGACATCACCCAGCAAATTGTTTAATTGTTTAATATAATATAATATATTGTAAGTAAATAATATAATATAATATATAATATAATATATTGTAAATAATATATTGTAAATAATATAATATATTGTAAGTGAAATTATTGGAGTTTACTCCTTTAGAATCGATTTACATATATAGGCCCGGGGTATGAAAATTATGGGGACCAAAATCGTACTAGCATGTCACACGAAATGCGTTATGCGCCTGATTGCGCATGTCACACGAAATGCGTATCGCAGGTGACGCCGGGCTGCTGCGCCGGCAGTCCGCCACAAAGCCTCGTACTGATCGCGCGTTTCTCTCATTATTGTATTTTCATATATTTGTTAGTCGTTTGTTTTGTGTCTCGTTAATTTGTTAATAATCTGTAGTGTATCGTGTTGTCGTAATATAGAACTATTTCTCGTATTGTTTCGTTTAATTTTTTATATCCAGTAAACTCCAGTCGTGCGTCGGAGCGGACACACACACTTTTTTTTATTTATATTATTTTATTTTATACAGTAAGCTGTCTTAAGATATTCTACCGTAGTTTTGAGAAAAGTAATTTCCGTGCAAATTACCCGTGGTTAATCACAAGACGTCCTACCATACTATACTGTTACGCCGGTAATAGTAACGCCATCTATCGCCGAATAGTCAAACGGATATCGAAGGACCTAGAACGCTCGAGAAGTACAACGCCATTTATTGTCAGATAGCGGGAAATATCACTAGAGATGTGTGGAATATTCTCGATAATTCTAGGGATGTGGTATCGGCTATAAAAGTGTTGCAGAGATGGCACGCAGTCAGTCAGTAATCGGATCTACTCGAAGCGAAACAGCGAACGGATCACCTGAAGCGAAGCGGAACAAGCGAATTGAGAGTTCTAAAGTGTTTGTTGAGTGTTTTAAAGTGCTTGTGAAGTGTTTAAGTGTTCTAAGTGTTGAATACAGTTTTTCAAGTTGTACTTTGGTGAAATGTTATTGATCCCGAACCCTTAGAGCGTAACAATACTAAACGCACAGGACCAATCCAGGAGCCACTCACCCAGGATAGCGCAGGTCGTGTCAGCAACGTTCACACTCTCCAAGCTCAACTTCTTCAAGCCGGGACAGTTCTCCAGCAGCCGGTCCAAAGTCTCCAGTTGTATCGAGCACATGCTCAGGTCTAAATATTGGACTCGGGACGGCGCTGTTGACCCCGGGCACCACGAACCGATCTGAAACAAACAGGTTTTTTATTATTATTGCCTTATAGGCAAACGAGCATACGACCCACCTGATGGTGAGCGGTTACCGTGAAGTGTGTATACTTATATATTATAGCATAGCATAGCATTTGGTATATAACATAATTAATAGGTGTAATCTCGTATGTCCCCCTACTAAGGCGGACCACCCAGAAAAATAGGCTTCTGCATAATTGTAAACTAGGATTAAGATGATAATTAAACATGGAATACACGCAAAAAGACATTTTTCTTTAACACCTCCCAAAGTACAACATTACAAATCGTCGCCCATGGACTTCAGCAATACCAGGGGCAGAGCCAAGCCGCTGCCGCGCGGGGGCGGGCTGGTCACGAGCAGCGCCATCTGTCGTCAAATAGTAGAAACGACTGGTGCTATCGGGAATTTTTTCTTGATATTTGTAAACTTGTCGTGTAGAGTGTACGAGCTGTACTGTACTGTAAAATATAGTTTTATGTGTTCTCCAGTTGGAGCACCGGGTGATGAATACCAGAGGAATATCCAGAGGGTCCTAAGGATCCAGAGGGAACAAGTTCGAATAGGAATGGCGGCGAGTAGCGGACGTACACTCGTGCGTCCGCTTCGACGGTTGCGGGTGAACTCATAGATACTACACACAAATTAGTTACATATTAGATAAGCAACTCGAGCACTCAACAAAAATGTTTACGGGCGTCGGCCACTAGGTGGCTTCGCTTCGATTAGTTTCTCATTGCTCCTGTAGATGACAGTAACATATTACTTATCCTATATTTTATTTTAGTGAAGGATTTTGTAAATTTTCAGAAATTGAAAAATTTAATCAATTTGTCTATAGCAAATAAAGACTTTTATGATTTATAATTTTTTTATTTTCCGTGTTTAGTTGTAAATGATAATAATTTAATGAAGAACGATTAGAGGCAGCTCACCTCCGAGCTGGCCAGTCTGACTATGACTGGCTTCCTGTCCAGGATCTTCCCCAGGGCGTCTCTAGCTATCGCCTTGTTGCCGAGGTCCAGCCGCTGCCACAGCGTCTCGTCCGAAGCTATCCGGTACCACCTGGGAACGAACACACGTACCTACGTTATAGTGATTCAATAACCGACTGCACGTTGGAGGTGTTACTGATGTTCTAATTGTCACACAATCTACTTAAGTAGTATTAGTTTTATTTTTCCAACTGGAAAGGCAAAGGTATCATCGTACCATACAGCCTAATCTTTTTTTGATGACACGTATGATATTAGTACGGGTGTCCGTCGTAATTATAACCAGCTCACTCATGAACCAAGCCGTACTAAGTTGTTACTGAGACTGATAGGTCCGAACTCAGAGAAAATTCAAGTGAAACAAGTCTCGGTCCGGCCTACCTCTTACAGACGAGCATGCAGTGCGCGAGCGTGCGCTTGGGCAGCCAGCGGAACACGCTCAGGATCATCTCGTCCGAGAGCACCGAGAAGGAGTCCGCGCCGCAGCGGCGGGGGGCGGCGCCCCGGGGCTGCGCCGGCCTCCGCGCGGGGGACGACGCTGCGGACAAAGTCACTGAGTTGATACGTGTGGCAGGTAGCCATTATACAACAACGCAATATTTTTGACAAATGCCTGAATCTCGCTTACGACATTTTCAAGATAAGCTTGCATATATACAAGTTCCGAACAATAACATTCGGACCGTCGGTCTACCGAGATATATCACCCGCTTGGTGGAAGATCTTCCTTTTGTCTTATACCTTACTTTAAATCCTGTTTCTTAGTCTCAACTTAATCTAAACGCAAGGACATGGGTTAAGTTTCAGTTTTACAGTGCATAAGCTTCGCAGAAATAGACAGGGTGGTGGTACTTACTGGTGCAGATTCGCAAGACACCCTCTCGCCAGTATATTTAATGAAGTTAACAACATGAAATACCCTTGTAGACTAGACCGGGCCCAAACTACCTCCCTATCAGCGAGCCCCAGCCTCATGGCTACTATGAATGCTTGCACAAAGTCAACTAACGCGTCCTGACTGGGCTGGGATGCGCCCGCTGCTCCCTGGGCACGTAGGCGCTGATGCACTGCGCCAGCGGGGTCTCCTCGTCAAACGCGATCCCTTCCACTAGAGTCGTCTCAGAGTCCGTCTGCTGGAGCGGTTTGCCTGCAAAACATCAATGGAGTTTGAATTTACTTAAACACTGCTTAGGCAAAAACTAGTGACCTCATATACATATACACATTTTACTGGTGGTAGGACCTCTTTTGAGTCCGAGCGGGTAGGTACCACCACCCTGTATTTCTGCCGTGAAGCTGTAATGCGTTTCGGTCTGAAGGGAAAGGCAGCCGTTGTAACTATACTGAGGTCCTAGAATTTATATCTTAAGGTGGGTGGCGGTATCTACGTTGTAGATGTCTATGGGCTCCAGCAGCCACTTAACACCAGGCGGGCTGTGAGCACGTCCACCCATCTATACAATAAAAATAAAACGTGCCCGCGCTAAGACACATCCATACAGGTCAAAACCTAATACATGTAATCGAACTGTGCAATAGTCGATATTTCGATGTTCGGCACTTTATACGCGTTAATAGAGGATCGAAATACCGACGGTAGGCGCTTTAACGGTTAAACCGTAAATTTACTTTAATTAGTATTTGTTGAATGGATGTTCCGTCAAAGCGAGTATACCTCCGGTGCCGGTCAGTGACCCCGCGCCCCACTGAAGCAGCTCGGTCATTGACCCCGCGGATCTGCATTTTATTTATTGTATTACTAATGAAACCCAGTCCACTGTGACTATAACTGATATATGAAGACATATCTTAAGCTTACTCGCGCGCCACCTGTCGTGGCTACGAGAATATCACTGACTGGGTGCTGCAGTGATTAGGATAGATCGGTGTAAGCCTGTGTGGAACAGCGCCCCTAGCGGAAAACGTTCCAACTCCATACAAAATTAAGTTAACTTTTACGTTATCACCATAACCACTTTTTTATTTTATTTTTATTGCTTAGATAGGTGGACGAGCTCACAGCCCACCTGGTGTTAAGTGGTTACTGGAGCCCATAGACATCTACAACGTAAATGCGCCACCCACCTTGAGATATTAGTTCTAAGGTCTCAGTATAGTTACAACGGCTACCCCACCCTTCAAACCGAAACGCATTAATGCTTCACGGCAGAAATAGGCAGAGCGGTGGTACCTACCCGTGCGGACTCACAATAGGTCCTACCACCAGTGATTACGCAAATTATTGGGCTGTGAGCTCGTCCACCCATCTAAGCAATAAAAAAATATATGCCGTAGAACAGACGATCGCTGGAGAAGACGGCAGCCGGAGCAGAGAGATAGGTGGTGCGATGACCTCCGGACGGTGGCCGGCAAGAAGTGGATGCGGAGAGCCGAGGGCTGAGGTCAGTGGTGTGGATTGGGAGAGGCCTACGTCCAGCAGTGGACAATAATGGGCTAATGATGATGATGACGATGATTTTTGTAAAAAAAATTAAGTTATTTTTTTTTGACAATGTCATTATAATATTGTTGGATGAAGAAAGTAAAGCATGAAAGAGGAGTGCACGCGGTAGAGATGCGAACGTTGAGATGGATGTGTGGAGTGACGAGAATGGACAAAATAAAGAATGAGTATATCAGAGGAAGTGTGAAAGTAACCCTGGTAATCAACAAATCAAAGAGCGGACGGTTAGCGTGGTATGGACATGTGATGCGTAAAGACGAAATTCACGCATGTGACTAGAAGATGTACGAAAATGGTAATGCTAGGTAGAGGGGGAAGAGGTCAACCGAAGAAGACATGGATGGAGTGTGTGAATGACGATATGAGAGAGAGGAGTGAGTGTTGAAATGACGATTGATAGAAGAGACTGGAAGAGAAAAATTAGCTGTGCCGACCCCAACTAGTGGGATAAGGTGGAGAAAAAGAAGGTGCAGTCTCTTTTTTTTAAATATGTGAATATAAACTCTGCACTAAAAAGTTTATTTTCGGGTTTGTTACTGACAGTACATGTGAGTCGACTATTATCAAAGCCGGCAATGTGACTTTTGGACAATTATTGGTAAATCAGAAAAACGAATTATTGACTTTGTATTCCATTGGCAGTCACAAAACTCTTCAGAACGACATCTTAGATAAATAACAGGTTAACTATTAACCTTTATTTAATGCAGGTTTTGAACCGTATTCTTTGAAGGAGACGATTATATTCAAATCAATCTGAATTGACATATCAATAAAATTTTTTTGTCCAAATGCACAGATTGCCACCTTTGATAATAGACGACTCAAATACAGTTTTATTCTTCGGGGAATTATATTAATTAAAACCAAAATGCTTACTAGGAAATAATTAGAACATACATATGCATAATTTTAATAGAATAGTGTTATTACATGGTTGACTTGGTGGTGCAGTAAGTTAGAACGCCTGACTGTTTTCGTGGAGAATCATGTGTTTGATTACCACATTGGGAGAACATACTTGTAATAAGCAATTTTGTTTGGTGTTTGTCAGGGTGTTTATTATCTATATATGTATATTTAAAAGTATGTCAGTCCTGTAATACAGGGAATACTAAGTTGGGGCCGGATGATCGTGCATGATTTGTTCTCAGTTTTTATCCTATTATTAATATCAGGTATGTAAATAGGTAAACTGATAGAGATACAGTTATCAATACTAGTACTTAGACTAGATCCTCTTTAAGCAGGATGGAAAGTATTCGTACTGTTATATCCCTAGCCTGTATAGACTAATGCTTACCAAACACCTTACTCATCATAAGCTCTCTCACAGTGATTTCATGAGAACATACCAGGCTCAGTTCGGGTCAGATATTCATTGAAGTGAGACGTTTACCAATTTTCCTCACTATTTCTAAACTCTTTTATTATAATTAATTATTCATTAAAAATATTGTGTAGTTTCGAACAAATCCTTTTTTTTTAAAAAGTTCGGCCTTCTCACTACTAACAGTACCCTGGACCATAGTCGTCGTTGAAGTCGTCGTGGCCTAACGGATAAGACGTCCGGTGCATTCGTGTTGAACGATGCATCGGTGTTCGAATCCCGCAGGAGGGTACCAATTGTTGTAATGAAATACGTACTGGACAAATGTTCACGATTGACTTCCACGGTGAAGGAATAACATCGTGTAATAAAAATCAAACCAGCAAAATTACAATTTGCGTAATTACTAGTGATAGGGCCTCTTGTGAGTCCACGCGGATAGGTATCACCACCCTGCCTATTTCTGCCGTGAAGCAGTAATGCGTTCCGGTTTGAAGGGCGGGACAGCCGTTGTAACTATACTGAGACCATAGAATTGATATCTCAAGGTGGGTGGCGCATTTACGTCGTAGATGTCTATGGGCTCCATTAACCACTTAATACCAGGTGGGCTGTGAGCTAGTCCACCCATTTAAGCAATAAAAAAAAATAAAAATAAAAACACAAAGATAGACAATTAACTTATGGATGAAACCCAAATAGCCTAAAATAATATTAATTTACCAAAGTAAGCATGAATGATTGTTGTTTTGAAGCATTCATATTTAACAAACCAGCAACCACCCCTGGCAAATATTTGAGGACATAGTTTCTGCACAAACCGATATTAAACTTATCAAAGTGTTATTTTGATGAGCAGCGAGACTTTATGGAAGACTTACCGGTGTGAACGCGAGGGCTCTTCGCCTTGGAAGGTCCCGGGCTTCGTTTTGTGATCGGAGAACATGAATTCGTATTTGGATTCACGTTTTCTATGTCCCGTTTTCGTTTTGTGCCTTTGTGGTGGTGCTGGAATCAAAATAAACTGTTGAATTTCCATTATCTCAATTTTTTATTTTTTTTTATTGCTTAGATGGGTGGACGAGCTCACAGCCCACCTGGTGTTAAGTGGTTACTGGAGCCCATAGACATCTACAACGTAAATGTGCCACCCACCTTGAGATACAAGTTCTAAGGTCTCAAGTATAGTTACAACAGCTGCCCCACCCTTCAAACCGAAACGCATTACTGCTTCACGGCAGAAATAGGCAGGGCGGTGGTACCCACCCGCGCGGACTCACAAGAGGTCCTACCACCAGTAAAATGGTAATGGTTAAACGAGCCTACTGTTACCGGGAGTTTTAAAATTAGACCTGCTCCTCATTGTAACTTGGCTGTGCAGGACTTCCATTAGCAAACAAAGCACTTACCACAAGGGTTGTGTCGCCAAACACAGACAGCGATACAAAAACATAAAACTCACCCCTCCACTGCTCGAACTCAGTTCACAGGATTGTTCATTATCATCAGGCTCAAGCAAACTAACCCCCATTTCTTGTAATACCTAAAAATAAAGTTTAAACTTTATTTATTCCCAAAATCATACAGTTCCCTTTAACATGAGACATTATTCTATCTATGGATTAAACATTAGTATTAAACAATTAGTTCTAATATGTAATTATTACTATGCAAACATTATAAGAATTGAAAAATATGTATTTCTAAGATTAATCAAACCTTTGTATTTCAGTACAGAAAAACAAAGTTATATCATATCTCCAAAACCCTTTGAAGAAACCTAGTATCCCATAGAGCACTTTGATGATCTATGCTCAGCTAGTCTGATGCAAATCAAAATTGATATCTTAATCTATGTTGATCGAATTTTAATCAAACATATTCCTTTTGTTGTGTAGAATAACATAGGATGCCCGTAAATCAGATCTTCTTCAATGAAAGCCTATAGGCTTTTTATGATTTAATATGGTACAGGATTATAAAAGACAATTCTCAAATGTTTCTTTAAACTACATTTAACCTTATATTTTTCAATGTCTATGCTTGAATGTGTGTTTGGACCACTCATGTATTAATCTAGTACCTCTAAATACAAATAGAAATTTAGTAATTGAGAAAAAATTACTAGAAACATAGCTTGTCCCGTTCCTTGTCTTTTTTAAAGCTTTTCTTGCTTTGATAGGTGAATCAAATCAGGGCCTACCTTGTGTTAAGTGCTTCCCAGAACCCTATGGGTTATTGATGTCTATAAATCAACAATGTCAATGCCACCACCTACCATGAGAGTAAGCTCTAAGTTTCAGTTCTATGGCTGCCCCACCCTTAAAAACCAAGTGCATTGCTGCTTCACATCAGAAATAGGCAGGGGCATGTTACCTACCAGTACAGGCTCACAATATGTCCTCCTATCACTAGTAAATATGTGCATAACATATAAAAATACATAATATTATTTGAAAGCATTACTTATAATAGTGATGACTTAAACCAAATTTGCATAACTGAGAAATGGTCCAAAATCTGTTTGTAATGTTGCTGTATGAGCACATATTCATACAGTCTTATTTGTTTGTGAATAATGGTCACCCGACTGCTTATGTGGGATTTCACAGGGTGGCGGTATCAACCATTGCTCACTACACGCCTGAGAACCCATAAAATCTATACATGAAAATGGGAGCATGTATACATTTTTCGATTTTAGTTCATTTGCGTGTTTCGTGGCAAAACTATAAAATTACGCGTCCCAAACTCGATATGTATATTAATATTGGATTTAGGAGCTGTGAGAAACTCGAATGATAGTTAAAACGCGATTGATATCAAATAAAAAGTTTTTAACTATAACGGGAGAGGGCGGGAAAAAATTACTACATACCTCGTAATTCGTTCGTTTGTCCATCAAACTCCAACTTTTCCGCGTCGAATTACTTATTCTAAGTTTTTTCTTGCTGAAATAATATTCCAACTCTTTGAATAACCGTAAATATAGTAGTGTAAAAATAATAATTAGGGCGTGATTATTTCGCGCCATTCAACTTTACCGCTGAAAATCAGCTGTCATGTCAGATTGAATTCCATGACGATTTTTGCTAAAAATTAAAGTCTCACCTAGGACTTTCTGCATCGTCTGGTTTAACGGGTGAATTAACTTCATCTTCCAGACCACTAATGTTCATTTTCACTTAATTTTGTATTATAAATTTCCAAATGTAACTAGATAAAAAATTTGGCACACGCAATAGATAGCACCAGGGGGGTGCAACTCCCATACAAAGGAAAAGAACATTCAACTAGCGTCATCTTTAGGAACCGGCGAGGTCATTTTTGAAACGTTTTGGCCTTAATGAACTAATAAACTCACTAGATGGCAGATACGAGTTCTGACTCAATAAAAAAGGTTAGCGTACTTTGAAGCAGTGCTTCCACTTTTGGGGAATTCTCCCTTTTTTAGGGNAAATTAACTCTCAGACACAGCCCACTGAGTTTCTCGCCGGATCTTCTCAGTGGGTCGCGTTTCCGATCCGGTGGTAGATTCTGCGAAGCACGACTCTTGCTAGGGTTCGTGTTAGCAACATCGTCAGGTTTGAGCCCCGTGAGCTCACCTACTAAAGTTAAGGCTACGCTGAAATAGCCGCTAGGGCTATCAGCTTAGGTAGGCAAAAAAAAAAAAAGTTTTTTTTTTATTATTTATTATTATTATGAATTATTTATACAATATAATTTATCTCTATTTATTTATTTATTAATTTATTTATATATTTAACTTTTCTTTAATTATTACTATTATTTGATATTTTTTCACACCATCGCGATTCGCGGCTACCCCACGATTTTTTTTTCTTGAATCAAGGCATAAAATTTGTCGATTGACTTAAAATATTTATACTTTGTTGATGACAAAATCTGATTGACACATAGTTACACTACGACTTAATTCATTACGAGAAACGGATACACGCTCTCGCTCTCTGCTGTTCTAGTAACCATTCAAACCAGCCTTGATCGACAGCTGTAAGCGCTTAAATTTCAGAGCACATTAAATAAGGAATTCTTCGGTATTTTTATTTATTACATTGTCCCCGTTTTTATTCGACTAAACACGATAGATAGTAAAACAAAACAATAAAACAATAAGATTAACTTGGCAACTATTTCTGGGTAGGTTTCACTTCTAGATTAAAAGTTATTTATTTCATTTTGTGAATATAGAAGTGTAAGGGTAAATGAAAAAAAATATTATCTTATCATGATTTACCTCCTGTTTTGACAACTTTAAGATCAAAATTCCAGCGCACTGAGTTTCTCTCCAGATTTTTTTTATTGCTTAAATGGGGGGACGAGCTCATAGCCCACCTGGTGTTAAGTGGTTACTGAAGCCCATAGATATCTAGAACGTAAATGCGCCACCCACCTTGAGATATAAGTTCTAAAATCTCAAGTATGTTACAACGGCTGCCCCACCCTTCAAACCGAAACGCAGTACTGCTTTACGGCAGAAATAGGCAGGGTGGCGGTACCTACTCGCACGGACTCACAAGAGGTCCTACCACCAGCTACTCTCAGTTCTCAGTGGATCGCGTTTCCGATCCAGTGGGAGATTTTGTGAAGCACTGCTCTTGCTAGGGCTAGTGTTAGCAAATTCGCTAGGTTAAAGCACCGCGAGCTCACCTAACTCGCCAGATGAATATAGTATGACCCCTCCAGGTTACTGGAATAGGTAGGAAAAATAATAATCGATAATAGTGAAAAAATCGAAGACAATAAATTTATTAGGTTCAACATATATACAAATGAAAATGAAATCATTCGAAAACAACATTTTTTTAAATTGCGCAATTTTGAAATAAAATCTGTTAAGGCGTCTGAAATCGAACTTTAATCGATTAACAAATTTAATCATATCGCATATCGTATCTGAACTGATTATGCCACACTATCCACAACTGTCAGTTCCAATCAAAACAACACAAAACACAAACAAAGAAGGTTGCATTCGGTGTTGATTCAGTCCGTTCTTTCTTTGTTTTCGCATTTTAAAAGCGAAGAAGCCCGGTTGAACACAGCGTATATTATTAAAAATACGTTTATAAGTAATTTTCTAGTACCACGACTTATTTCCGCGCGATGGCGTCGAGAAAACTGAACACAATCGAAGACTTGAGCGGTGAGTGTTGTAAATAAACATTGAGTATGTGGCGTCCAACTTTACAAACAGGTTTCTTTTACGTCTCATTTATTACATAAAACGCAATTTTTGGGAGTTTGCTTTTGTTTTTTTTTCTAACAGCTGTTGTTTTGATTTCGCGAAATGGCGTCATATAGCCTGTTGAACTGTCGAGGTCAGCAAAATCGAAAACACGCGATAGTGCGTCACAATCTGCGTACGTGATTCGTCTGATGTTAACCGGCTATATGAAAATACCATAATCCTAATGAAAAAGATATGGCTTAATCATATTCTTATTTTAGTCAGCTTTTACCGTAACTAAAAATGCGTAGGTACCTCTTCATTTATATGGCTGCCTGGTACTTGCACTTTCGGAATGAGAAAGTTTCCTCAGAAAACAAAATCAAAATATCATCTTTTTCTAAACCATAGATACCTACATGATACATAATATTATTATATAAATTGAACTAGTTTGATTTTGTACAAACAAATTAGTAATTATTAAAAATGTAATTTTCTCAAGACAACCAGTGACTTTCAAGTTAAAAATTAAAATCCAAAACCTGGGTATTAATTGTCTACCTGAAATTAAACAAAAAATGATGCATTGCTTAACAACTGTGACGAAATTGTAACAAAAGTGTCTTCACATGAATATATTTACAAAAATATTTCAATTCAATTTTTATAAAACATAATAGCCATTTTAATAAATAATAATATAACAAACAAATAATTCCATTGTTCCTACTGACTGGTTATTCTGTATTGGCTTAATTACATTTTAATTTAGTCACTGTAGCTAAAGATTCAACCTCTTCACTTATATAGCTTCCTAGTACACATTCTTGCCGAATGTGAGGATTCAAAAAAAAGCATATCGCTTTTTACATGCTTATAAAAAGCTGGACTGGTTTGATGAAACATTTGTCATTGGAGGCGGTCTTGAAAAAACCTGAACTTTTAGAGTAATTCTACCACTTCTATTTTGGTCTGTAGCGTCCGCATTAACTATTCAACTTCCTGATGAGTTATTTTCGTCATATGATTAAGCATCGGGTATGATACTTGTGTCCCAAATAATCTATGTTTAAATCTTATACTGTAAAAATTCTGACCGTTAAATTTGGTATTACTATTGTGTCTATATGTTCAATACAATTAACTGGAAATTCTTTGTAAATTGACATCTCTGAACGGTGTCTATTCTGTTTGTGTCTTCGTCTATATTTTGCCCTTATTGAAACTAAAATAATAAAAATTTCATTTGATTTAGGCTTACAAAATAAATTACAAGGTTACTTTCCATTTGTATTTGTACTATACCTTTAAGAGAAATAAATAAATAATAATTATTATTATTATTTCAATTTTTACTGTAATAATTAAGAATTAAAAACTAAGAAGATATTCCAGTTTTCTCTATGAGACAAACGATGATAACCTCTAGATTTCCCTAGTACTTTCCCATTATCATGAGTTTATCGTTGTTTCGGAATATGTAAATGCTTGAATATTGCCATAAATTAGTATAACAAACATATATTTTTCAATTTCTGAATCTATATTTAAAAAAAAAATTTGGAAATCTGAAAGAAAAAATTGCTTTCATTTCATGATAACTGAGAATTTTTTAAAGTTAAATTCCTCATGCCTTACATTTCGAATTTGAAGTACAACATTATCACTGCTTATTTTATAAACGTCAATTTTTCATCTTATCTGAACGTATGTAGCCTTTGTCAGAAGCTAATCGTGTATAAATTGGCCACAATTGAAAACGACCGAGACGTTCCCATTGTAGATTTAAGAGCGTCAACCTCATAAAAAAACATAGAATAGTAAACTGTAGATGGACAGAAAATAACATTGAAGTATACCAATCTATGTGTGTTGGTGTGGCAGAAGATGTTCTGAATATCACGGACTACCACAGAACTAACAAGTACATCTCGATAGAGCTAAACATCTAAATAAATAATAGTTTAAAAAAACGAGTAAAATACGCTTTTATAGAAAATCCAACTAGAAAATGGAAAATAAATTTTAATAAATTTGAATTAAAAATAGTGTAAGAAAACATGATTTTATTGAAAAAGAGCGTGGTGTGCTTTTCAGGATATTATCAAAATAACCCCTCTATTCATATCTGTTCATAAAATATTTATAAATACTGATCCGTGCACCACCTATTGGGATAAGGTGGAGAAAAAGAAGACTCTTTAGTGGACAGTGCAAGATTCCGAGTAGCTTTGTATGTACGTCCAGTGGCTCTGTTTCATTTTCCTATATTTGCGCACTAACACATATACTAAACTAGCTTTTGCCCACGACTCCGTCCGCGTGGAATAGTTACTTTGGCATAACACTAAATTTTGCACCCTAGTTCATTACACGTAGAAAGCGATAATATTTTTTAATTATAGAATGTTAAGGAGCTATTTAAACCCCTATTTTGTTCCATGGGGAGTGCTCTGAGGAATTGTTCGAGATGATACCAACGTCTCGTTTTTACCATCGCACCGCCCGCCACCGGAGTAGAGTTCATCCATACTACCTGGAGCCACTGCGGTCATCCACAGTGCGTTTCCAGAGGTATTTTTTGCCACGTACCATCCGGCTATGGAATGAGCTCCCCTCCACGGTGTTTCCCGAGCGCTATGACATGTCCTTCTTTAAACGAGGCTTGTGGAGAGTATTAAGCGGTAGGCAGCGGCTTGGCTCTGCCCTTGGCATTGCTGAAGTCCATGGGCGACGGTAACCACTCAACATCAGGTGGGCCGTATGCTCGTCTGCTTACAAAGGCAATAAAAAAAAAAAACCTTCTTTATTGTTGTTCCACTTGTGTTGGTCTTACCGTGATGTTATATAGCGTTCCTCAATAAATGAGCTGTCTAACACTGAAAGAATTTTTCAAATCGGACCATTACTTCCCGAGTTCAAACTAATATTAACTAATATTACTAAATAAGTATAGATAGTTGATAGACCACTTTTTTAATACACATTTAAACCTGAACAAACATTAAATTAACGACATAAAACAATTAACACAATGTTGTTTCTCGCGTCATTACCCCCAAAGGCTACGCGAAATTTTTGCAATTTAATCAGACGTCTTCAAGTCACTGAAAATGATGCTACAAGCAAATATACTAAACTTGGGTCGCGATTCCGATCTGTGTGCTTAGTGAGAGTGTTTTAACATTCTCGATAGCGTAAAAGTTAACTCAAACTTGTATGCAGTTGGAACAGCGCCCCTACCGGCAAACGTAGGCAACGTTGGCAAACGTTCCAACTCCATACAAATTTGAGTTAACTTTTACGCGATCGAGAACGTTAAAAAACTCGCACTTGTTAGTAAATTCGCCAGGTTTGAGCTCCGTGAGCACACCTAACTCGTGAGGTGAATAAAGTAAGACCCCTCGAGATGACTAGAAGGAAAAAAACAAAAACAAAACAATAAGATCGTGTTAAAAATAGTTTTAGAGTCGCAAAAAATTTTTTGTATATAAATTGTCGTAGGATAGTCTTTAAAGTCTACGAGAAATTTTGTATGTAAATGCTCATAGGATATTCTTTAGTCTACAAGAAATATTGTATATAGATTTTCATAGGATAATCTTTGGTCTACAAGAAATATTGTATATAAATTTTCGTAGGATATCCTTTAGTCTACAAGAAATATTGTATATAAATTTTCATAGGATATTCTTTGGTCTACAAGAAATATTGTATATAGATTTTCGTAGGATATTCTTTGGTCTACAGGAAATATTGTATATAAATTTTCGTAGGATATTCTTTAGTCCATGAGAAATCTCTATATATAAAAATGAATTGCTGTTCGTTAGTCTCGCTAAAACTCGACAACGGCTGAACCGATTTGGCTAATTTTGGTCTTGAATTATTTGTGAAAGTCCATAGGTTTTAAATAAAAATAACATTTTGTTTTTCCTTTGATGTGTCTCACGTCGGACGGATTCCTTTTGTTTATTTTAAGTTTATTCTAGACAAAAGTTTAGGTCTTTTATTTATCGATTGAGGCATTACGAAGTCTGCCGGGTCAGCTAGTATTGTATATATAATATAAATTTTCGCAGGACAGTCTTCGTAACGTATTCTTTGAGCGGATATGAATACATACATACCGAAGTATTGCATGACACATCCGATTGTGGTTAGCGTGTAGCTATTTTCGTCTCGCGTATCGTCTGTTCGATAAGGGAATGTGTTGTCGAATAAATATGCTGTTTGTTTTGAGTGCAAACATTCAAAATGAAGGATCCTGTCAGTTATTTTTTTTTTTGTTTAATTTATGGCCTGTCAATGGGACCGTAATGCCAATTTTATAGACAATTTGCTTCATAGACAAGTTTTTAAAAAAATGTAAATAAGTAAAGAGCGTATAGGTAATCATCAGCTGAGTTTTTTTTTTATATTATTGATTTTGTGCATCAAAATGTCGATACAAAATCAAGTAATATATAATTAATAAAATAGGCTTTAGTTAAATTAATTTGCGGTATTAAAATATAGTAAAAAAAAATTGCGGTAAGCAACGGCTTGGCTCTGCCTCGGGTATTGCTGATGACCACGAGCGCCAGTAACCACTCGGCATCAGACGGGCCGAATGCTCGTCTACCTACAAGAGCAATTAAAAACAAAAGGCATAATGATTATCTTTGTCAAATCTTTATAATTTCGTATCCAACGCACTGTTAGAAGTGAGAAGGCCGAACTCTTTTTAAAAAAATGATTTATTCGACACTACAAAATATTTATAAAGAATAACTAATTATAATAAAAGAATTTTAAGATAGTGAGGAAAATTCGTAAACGTCTCACTTCAATGAATATTCGTAAACATAGACATATTTGAAGGCGAACGTACGCCTAGGAGCCGAGACAGAACAAAAAATATCCTTGGAATCTGAAAGTGTAGGAAGGATTGCGTTAGTGCGGTCCGATCGCATAAGTTTTGTATTACGTAC